ATCTTCAAATTTAACATATGTATATGCATAATGTAAGCAAGGGAAATTGTCAGCATTTTATTCTCCTTATAATGTATTATAATTCAAAACTGTATTTTGATGTGAGATGGGAGAATCTGAAAGGGAAAAAGAAACCAAATAATAACGACAGTTATGAACATTCAGACTCTAATATATCAAAATTTAAATACCATGGAGAATTTATAACTAATTTGCGGAAGTCAATATTGATAGTTTTTTAATTAGTGGTAAAAGAGAATAAAAACTTTTTTTTTTCAATATTCACAAAGTATACATAATTTTTTTATTATTTGGGTTTTATACAACTCAAGGAGTCATATCCCCAATACCCAAAAGCCACTGCTCCCTGTCCATCCAATCTCCCCCACGAAGCCCTCTGGCTGCCATGCTTTCCTCCACGTCCTCTATCCATTTCTTCTTTGGCCTTCCACGCTTCCTTCTTTCAGGTGGCACATAGTTATAAATTTTCTTTGGCCAGCGGTTCTCATCCATCCGCATTAAGTGGCCATACCACTTTAACCGTTTGGTCCCGATCAGGTGAAGGATGTTCTTTTGACATCCGACCTTGTCTCTAATTGCTGCGTTTGGGATCCGCTCGATTCTGGATATGCCACAGCTTCTTCTCCAGAAATCCATTTCCATGGAAAGCAACTTATTTTCCATCTTTTTTGTCAGTGCCCAGACTTCTGATCCGTAAGTGGCTACGCTTTCTACAAAGGAATGGTATATCTTTTTTTTAGTTTCTAATCTTAGTTCTTTCCTCCATAGGATTGAATTTATCGAACTTATTATTCTTTTCCCATTATTTATTTTATGTTCGATATCAACCTCACTATCACCCTTTGAAGATAACCAGTATCCGAGGTACTTGAACTGTTGGCTGACATTTAGCGTCCAGTCATCAATTTCAAGGGGCAAATTTGGAGCGTTAAAAACCATATACTCTGTTTTACTTTCACTGATTTTCAGACCCCATCTGGAATACGTGTCCAGCAACTTCCTCATCATATAGCTAACATCATCCGGATCCGATGCGATTATGACTTGGTCATCGGCATACTGCAAATTGTAGATGACATCATTCCCGATTTGAACACCCATTCCACAGCACGATCTTTTCCAGTTTTTAAGGGCTTGTTCTATATAAATGTTGAAAATCAGGGGTGAAAGGCAGCAGCCCTGTTTCAATCCTTTGTTAATGAAGAAGCTTCTAGACACTCTATCTCCAATTTTTATAGCCCCCGTTATATTTTTATAGAGCTCTTGAATTGCTCTGATGAGGTATCTCTTAATAGATGTGGCTTCCAAAGCTTTCCACAATTTCGCTAGAGGTACTGAATCATAGGCCTTGTATAAATCTACAAATATCATATGGAGTTCACGGTCGTGGGCCATCCTCTTTTCTATAAGTTGTGAGAGACTAAAAATGTGATCAGTGCATGATATTCCAGCTCGAAAACCCGCCTGTTCCTCGCTGATCTCTTCCTTTAAATCATTTTCAATTCTGCTTTTAATTATCCGGCCGTATAATCTACTCAGCGAGCTGGTAACAGTAATACCTCTGTAGTTGGAAACATCTTTCTTTTGACCTTTTTTGAAAACTGGAGTGATATAACCCTGTTTCCATTCCTCAGGAATCTCTCCACCATTTAACAGAAGTGTCATACTTTCTGCCAGTGCCATTTTGAGTTCGGTCGGGCCTGCTTTAATTAATTCAATTGGAATAGAACCAGGGCCGGGAGATTTTCTATTTTTCATTCCTTTGAGGACTGAATCCAGTTCTATGATTGTGACTGGCGGTATATCTTCCTTATTTAGCATTATTTCATCGGATTGGTTCCATGCAAATTCGGGTAGCTCCTCATGAAATAATTCTTCAAAGTGATTCACCCATTGCTGCTCCTTGATCAATGGGAAGTTATCTCCACATCTTTTGGGATTTTTCAATCTTTTTAATGTCCTCCAAGCAGCACTAGACTTTTGTCCATCAATGTAAGTGTCCACATACTTGCAGGTTTTCTCGCAATAGATATAGTATACATAATCAGACACAAATAATAATTACAATATATTCAATTATAATTGTGTATAAATCACTCCGGTAAACGTTGCTGTGAATGGTCGTCATTTATATCATACTCTATATGTTACTAAATGTTAACAAAATTATGCAATGAATAATTTTGATTTAAATCTATTTACTAAATATCGAACAAAAACTGCGTCAATCATATTTTGTTGTGCTGTTTAATCCCACCTTGTTAACGTTTTTGCTTCTATCGTGTAGTCTTTCTTAAGCACACACTGTAGATTTTATATTATTATTACATTTCCTTTATTAAAGTTCTTTTTTGCTTTAATTTCTGTATTTTATCTTCAAAATATATATGTACGTATATATTTATTTAATTTGTTAAAAGGGAGGCCTTTCTTAGGCCTTATATTCTTCCCTGGAAGGCAGTAAGCATAAATTAAAAGATATTCAGGGACGTTTATAATTCCATAAAAATAAATTCGTATCTACATTTATTGTTTAAACTTCTGTGGCATTGTTTTTATAAAAAAAAAAACATGCAATAAAAAAATAAAATACAATTCTTTGTCGGCCATTCTTCGGCGACGGTAGTAAATTATTATGGACAAAGGGTGGATATATTTTTAGGTTCAGTTCCATTGTTTTATTTGCAAGGTTTATACTCTGTTCGGACAGGTTTAAAATAAAACTACCCACGTATTTCTTGAATCAATTTTCCCTTTTTTTCCTATGAAATGAAAGTATTTAATATATGAAAACCAGGACACCATACATTTATTTTTAACAGAATTTAATAGAAGTTTAATTTTTTAAAAAATTCAATAGAATTTGAGAATCAATAGAAGAGCTGAATTTCTTTCTCTCGTTTCGTTTTCGAGCATTTTTTAATATGTTTCCAAAATTAATTAACTTATTTCACATATAAATATTCTATCCTTTAATATTATTAGGAGAGTATCTATCATGTGACGTAATTAGGCCTTTCGAAATTCAAGAAATTCACAAAATCTTGAAAAATTCACAATTGACATTTCTTCAACATCAACCCAAATGGCATAAAAACATGTTCACCTTTTAAGTCAAATATATAGGCATATAAAGGAGCTAAAAATTAAAAAAAAAAAAAAAAATTTACCGAAAATAAATAAATTCCACCCGTTCGTGGATGTTACAGATTTTTTATTATTCTTTTATTTTATTGAATATTAATACATTCTGCCTCTATGAAGTCTAATAATATTACGGTTGCAGTAACCATTCACACAATGTGTACATACTTAATATAACAAAACTTTTAATGAAGGATTGTGCGAAAATCCGACATTTTAACGAAATTTACCTCAATCTTTATGATATTGTTCTACCTTGAAAACATACGCTGGAAACATACATTCTCGTCATACCCAATCAAACTTGAGATGACGAAAAATATATTACGTAAGGAGGAAAAATATATTTTTTAAAAATTAAATAAAGTAGGCCACCGCACCAGTTATGGACAGGTAGGCCTTTAAATGTAAATAACAAGCTTCCTCGTTGATTTAAAGGTTCCAGTTTCTTCTAGATTGAAGAACAATGCCTTCTGTCGACTACTGTATGAATGAAGTTTCCAATAGAAAATTTTAAAATGCCTATCATTGTTGCTTCTATAGTATACTCTTGAGACTAGCGTATTTCATACCTTCCTACTAACAGTCCTGCTAAGAGTAAGTTGACCATTTAAGTTACGTTATTTTTATCGTTATCTTTATAGTCAAACAACGATTTTAGAATTTTCCTGAGGTATCACTATTACTGATACCGACCCCCTTTCCATTACAAGAACAATTGAATTTCGGGATATGCAACACTAGTGCAAAAAGTTTTTTTTTCTTTTAAATGAAGATTATACCTGCATAGTTGAATATTTTTTTTTCAATTTTAATGAGTTAAATAGAAAAAGAGGACCCTAGAGATTTTAAACGACAAACGATGAAGTTTATAACTATAATAATTATGGCGGCCAAAAAAATTTCCTTAGCTGTGTCTAAAAAAGAAGCACTGGTGCACTCATCCTAATTAGTATCAATTTGATACTATCAAAATTTAAAAAAAAATTACATTATACATAAATCCATCAGTACGATGTCACCTGGAAATATGGAAAAATACGAAAATTTGATTTAAAATTATGGTGACATTGGTTATTTCTTGTTTAAATCAAATATTTTTAAACGCAGTATCCCTGATCTGCTGTTATAATAACTCAGTATAATTGAAAAATGTATATTAAAAATAACTAAATTAATTTAAGAACTAGAAAAATAGCAAATTTTGTAGATATACAACTTTGGCATTACATAGACGATATAGATGTCACATCAATAAAGATACCAGATTTTTTTCTAAACACATATGGTTTTAACATTGAAGTCTTCCAAACTGAGGTTAAATAAAAAATATATTTTTTGACAATTCATTTTTGTTTGTTTTTTATTGAATAGGAAATAGTATAATCTTCCACAATGAAGCGCTAAGGCTAAATATTTTCCTTCATACTATAATTCTATGTTAGTTGCATGATTTGTATTCCCCTTTGTTGTAACGCAAATTATTGTATTCTATCATTTCATAGAAGCTGAGATTATCACTTCTATTATCGAAATAGGTCTGCTTCAGCTATCAACGGTCAGTTTAATTATATTTAATATCTCTATTTCGACTGAGGATTGTCAATAATCGTAGCTTTTGGTGACCCACTTTCTTCTGTTAACGATCCTAAATTGGTCTCAGGCCTGGCTCTGCGCACCGCGGTTGGCAAATATCCTCTGCCGCCACCGCTGCACGAAACCTCCGGAGGAAACCGTTATAAGATGAGTTATATAACATAACATTTCTGCATCGGTTCGGTATATATAGGAGGCGGTGGAACATACCGGTCATTATCTCAGCTGCGATAGGCACAATGAAATCGACTCTTCTATTCCTCTCCGCCTGCTTGGCCGTCACACAGGCCAGCGAACACAGCCACTACGAGCCCAGCCATAGTCACTACCACCACGTCAGGACGGACATCATCACCAAGGAAGAACCTGTACCGTACCCGGTCGAAGTCATCAAGCACGTGCCTTACCCTGTCAAAGTACCAGTAGATCGCCCAGTGCCTTATCATGTCGACAAACCGTACCCAGTCAAAGTAGAAAAAGAAGTACACGTACCCGTTCATGTTCAAGTACCTCAACCGTATCCAGTCTACAAAGAAGTCAAGGTCCCAGTAAAAGTTACGGAGGAGCGACCAGTACCATATCACGTACCCAAACCGTACCCAGTGACTGTTGAAAAGAAGGTTCCCTACCCAGTCGAAAAACAAATCCCAGTACCAGTGAAGGAGTATTTCGAAGTACCTAAACCGTATCACGTACCAGTCGTAGTCGAGAAGAAAGTACCTTATTATGTAGAAAAGAAAGTACCAGTTCAAGTCCAAGTACCAGTAGAGAAACCATATCCAGTGGAAGTACCCAAACCTTATCCAGTGGCAGTAGAGAAGAAGGTGCCATATTTCGTTGAAAAGAAAGTACCGTACCCTGTGAAGGTTCCAGAATATGTCAAGGTACCTGTACCTGTTCATAGTGAACATTCCTCTTCTTCTGGCCTCTCCTTCGGTTTAGAACACCATCACTTCTAAATCTCAATAATTTCTAATCTGTTTGTAATTTTATTGTACAGCAATATAAGTTGTACATCATTGATCATCCATTACAATGTTCCTGTATGAAGTTTGTATATGTTGTAAATAATAAATAATATTTAAAACAGTCAACTTATTTTCTTGTTACCTTTTATTCTAAGCAGTAAAATAATTTAAAAAATTAAAAATATTTGTTTATATTATTGGTCAATATTTTGAAGATGTATTCAACTTCCTTTGTATTTATTTATTCCAAAGCAGATAACAGCAGTTTTCCAAAAAATAAATATATTTTCATTTAACTTAAAATTTGGTACTCATTACAGTTAAGCAAAAACAACAAAGATAGGTCATTATAAAACTATCTAGTTAAATCATATATTCATGTTAAGAAAATAGCATCAAATACACAAGCTTAAAATGTAATACAATAAGTGTTTCTGTCCTTGATTTGAAATGGAATTTTATTTGGTTTTGAGTCAAAGAAGGTCGCTAAACCTTAGAAGTTTACATCACTTTTTAGATACAATCAAGTATGAAACATCACCTTAAAGACATAAAGGTTATTCTGACTAATAGTCATTTAAGTTAAACTTCGGTTAGACTAATTAAATTTTAATGCCGAAATAATTAAATATTAAATCGTTAAAATTAATCTTTGTTCTTTAGATGATACTTTTTCTTTTTACTGGAATTACAATTTTTAGGAGTCATTTCTTTTTTATTTTTTTATTAATTCATTATACAAATTGGAAGATAAAAGTGTTTTCGACTGATGTAAACATTGTAGTACGTTATCAACGTCCCATTTGTCTGATTATTTTTCCTTGAAATAATTTACAGGTAAGTATAAATAAATAAAGTCAAAAATATTATAAATATTATACAACATCATACAGTCCAGTAAATTTAGGATTTGACATCAAGAAAATTCATAATTGGCAGTAAATGTGGAGATTAGTTCCTTATCGAATGTAGAACAAACCATGAAAAGTCCTTTAAAACCCCCTGTCCGCTGCAATCCAAAATGAAGGGTCAAAGATGGCCACCTAGCACTTTCTGTCTTATTTCATGTTTGAATTTTTCGCACATCCAACTTTCATTCGACTGGACTATTTCGAGAACTTTGACTTCGTCAGATTTCAAAATGTAACCGATTACATCGTCAGTCGAGGAGAATTACATTTTAGGGACATATTCTTTATACCATATAAAAATTTCAGCCGTCTGTTCTTCCGATAAATGAAACATCAAATTTCAACAATTTAATTGAAATTTTTGTATAGAAAGCAACGGTTTTCCACCGACAGACCGAAGTTGTAAGCTCAGATGAGGTTTATCTACGATTAAAAATGGTTACTAACACTAACTCCTTCAGTTAAATGAATCGGTGCGTAGCTCCTAGTCTATAATATCTATAGCTCCTAGTCCTAGCTATCCAGTTCGAATAGTCCGAGATGGAATTCAGCTTTGAGATCACATCTTTTCTATTAAAAAATAACATATTTTCACCATTTTAAAACAAATATTTAAAAAAAAAAATTTTATACCTCTCTTACTCAATGCTACAAAAAATATAGAAAACATTATTTCTCATTTGTTAGTAATTACAAAGTTATGATGGGTGACAGAACTAAAATCAAGAAAATTTCGCTTTTTTGGCACCAAATAGATCAATTATTATTTTTTTATCAAGTGAACTTCGATGGAATCATAAACAAGCATCCTTTCCGATCATATCGATACTTTTGGTAATCAAGAACAATGGTTTTTGATGGAGATATGAGGAAAAACATAATAAGACAGGGATTGCTGGGTGGCCATTTTTGACGCTCCATTTTTTATGAAAGGAGAAATGGGATTTTAGGGGACTCTCCATGGTTCGCTCTTCATTTGATAAGGAACTAATCTCCATATTTTTGGTCAATTATGAATTTTCTCGATATCGGCCCTGCTTTTTGCCCATTTTTACTCGGCTAATATTGCTGCAGCAGTTCATCTACTATCCAAGGAACAAAATGATGAAAATAATAAACTGTCTGCTCATGCTCTTTAAAAGTTAACGTTTAATGCCTCCAAATACGGAAAATCTAAAAGTAGAAGAATATTCACTGACAATAGGAATAGGGGTCTTTTGATGTACTCTAGAACTACTAGAACTAGAGTTCGTGTACTTCAACTAAGTACGACGTCTCCACTGATACTTCGACTTGAATAGCTACTTTCTTCTTTCTTCCTTTAGAAGGGGAACTTCGACATAGTCTTACACTGGCTAGGTCACTGTGTACTGGTACTGATTTTAGTCATGCGCGCCTCTTCCTTACAACGGGTCATCCAATTTAATGCAACTTTTTATAGTGATACCATTTCGAAAAATATTAGATGCAAATCAAATGGTTCTAGCCAATGCACCCTAGAATCCAAAAAAAACAAAAACAATACTTAATGTCATTATTTTAATATTAAACGAATTAAAATATATAATAAATTACAAAAGACATAGATAAATTTGTTTCGAGAAAAATTAACGTTTCTTCCGTCCTTTAGAACATCCAAATACATTTATTATAAAAATTTTGGAATTAATTATATCAGAGATTTTTTTTTTTAATACCGTTCACTAAAGCATTCATAAATTCTCAGACGTTTCTTCTAAATTAACGTTACTACATCACTTAAAAAGCTGAATTATTGCTCTTATAAACCATATCAATAACTTATAGATTTTAAACCTCCTTAAGGAATAAATAAAGAAAACTTTTTTTTTCTCCCCCTACCTTGCCTCATAAGCTATTCGGGATTTCGGGCCGGGGTGACGAAGGCGGGAGAATTATGCCGAGTTAAAAGTCCCATCAGGCACCGAGATTTAAACTCGTAATTGTTTTTCAATTTCTAACTTATGTTATCAGTTTGATGAAGAAAACCCATAAATGTTTTATTTCTCAAGCACTGATTTATTTAGGGAAGTCTGGTTTATGCCATTTTATGTAGTTCAAAGGCCCCTAAATCCCTGCTGCTTTGCGTATTGTAAGATAGTCTTTTTGAAGTTATTATGTTTTTTCTTATTTTCTCGAAAAATCTATATTATTTTGAAAAAAAAAGATTAATTTTTAATTTTTAATCATTTAAATGGCTACCGCGACAGCTGGACAGTTGGAGAGTAAAAGTAAAATTAACATTAATTACAGCGAGAAGTTCTCAGCTGCTGACCCACTGCCTCCTATATCCACCCAACCATTACAGTTATATAATTATCTTGTTACTTTCGATTGTTTTAGTTTATCTAATGTATCCGGTTTAATGCATGCTTACCTTCATATGTTCCACATTTGGATATAGAAGAGCACATTTTATTTTTTACCACCAATCTAAGACAGTCTGTTGGACATAGGATAATGTTGAAAGAGGAACTCCTGTATAACACCTCAAAGGTTATAACGGAGGATTTATTTGTAATAGTAGAGAGAGCCTTACAGAGAGTCATAAAGTTGGAGTTCGATAAGCGTGCTCTCGGGACAAGGCCAAAGATAACTGCTCCGGACGATGGCGGGCGCTGATAGAGGAAGCCATTGCGAAGGGAAGGCTGACAAACGACACTCCTCGGAAATGGTAAATCGACATGGAGGAGATCCCTCAAGAGATAGCAGCCGTTAGTGCCTAGTCGATAGCCACATCTGCTCTCTTCTGCATCTTATACTTTCTCTGGTCGGGGCACGCACTTCAGAAGCAGCTATTAATCGCAGATGTTGTTATATTAAATCCATCATTTATCCAAACTGTATGAATTTATTGTCAATCAGTCAATATTATCGTTAACATCTTCAATCAGATACTTGTATATAAAAAGCACACGTAAATATGAGCTGAGATAGAAGCCAAATGTTAAAGAATTCATAAACAATAAAGATTTTACTTTTTAAATAATAAAAGAATGTCCAGCTTTAGCTGAAACTTGAAAAAATAATGTAGCTCGTAGATGTGGTGTAGACCTGCAGTGTGACCTGAGTCCAATATAGTGTGACGTTGATTTCTAACACGATACTTTTAAACTTCTGTCTGCTCTAATTTATGAAATCAAATACAATAAGTTTTATTAAAGAGAAGTAAAATAAACGGATAGACATGTGTTAGATGGAAGTTTTGAAGGTGGAAACACTATTCTAAACTAAAATGTGTAAGATACCCACCCAATGGTTTTAGTTAGGAGCTGGCAATCCCAGACGTAGTTGTGATTCTCTAATATATTTATTAATCTCTATTCTCTTAAGTAGCTCCGTCGTCACCACTTTTCTTTAACTCTAATTATCTATTCACTCTAAAAGATTTATTTTTATTATTTCTATTGTATTTATATATTCATATTATGGTGTGTTTTGTTTTTATCACTTATTTTAACTATTTTATTTTATTTAACTACAACGGATACTACTAACTATTCAATAACGTTACAGCTGTACAGATGAAATTATTATATATTATTATAATTGTAAGTTATTATGAAGCGATACTGATTACAGTTTTTATAAATTTTTCCATAGTTTTTAAATTTTGACATTTCTATTTAAATTTCTATACACACCTAAATTTATGCCTCAAAGTGAGTTAATTAAAAATCGAAATTAACTTTTGATTACGTTTTGGGGAATTTGTGCTCCCCTCTTCAGCAATATTTTATTCCCAACCAAAAAAAAAAAAAAAAAAAAAAAAAAAAATATTGGTTAGTTAATATGATATAATAATTTTGGTAAAATGTATAATTTTCAACTGAACTTAAAAATTTCACAATCTTTCAACGTTTTAATAATTTTAAATTAAATTATTAATGCCAGAATTTTTATGGCAATATACATACGTTTTGTTAAGCACATCATATAAAACAAGAGATCTTTCGTGTGTGTTTATGTGTTTGTATGATGGGTGTGAATATGTACAAAATATATATAAAGTTATTTAATAAATAAATTAGTAAAAAATGGTGTTGATGGTCAGTGCAATTT